GCCAAAGCTTGAGCCTTGATAGTGGTTTGCGGCTTATACTGGAGCTCGTACTCGCTGAGCTCGATGGCCCACTTTGTCAACCTTCCCGAGACCTCAGGCTTGAGCAAAACTTGCCTCAGAGGTTTGTTGGTAAGGACAACGACGGTGTGAGCTTGGAAGTATGGGTGGAGCTTTCGGGCTGCTATAACCAGTGCATAGGCTAACTTTTCTATCTCCGGGTACCTCGTCTCTACTCCCTGCAACATTTTACTAACATAATAGACGGGTCGTTGGACTCAATCTACTTCTCTTATTAGTACCGAGCTGACCACCTCGTTACTCGCCGAGAGGTACAACTCTAAGACATCACCCACTTCGGGCTGGGTCAAGACTGGGATGCTAGCGAGGTGCCTTTTGAGCTCATCGAACGCGAGTTGGCATTCTTTAGTCCATTCAAAACCTTTGCTCTTTATGGCCTTAAAGAAAGGCAAACAGCGATCTGCGGACTTGGATAAAAAGCGACTTAAGGCGGCCAACCGGCCATTCAGCTTCTGGACCTCTTTTAACTTTCGGGGTGGTCTCATTTCTAGGATGGCCTTGATTTTGTCCGGATTGGCCTCAATGCCTTGCCGGTTGATGATGAACCCTAAGAATTTACCCGAGGTGACACTGAAGACGCATTTCAAAGACTGAGTGTAAATCTTGTATTACTCATGTGAAAATTGGGTTTTGACGACCATCTCGTCTACAAAACACTACTTTTGTGCCAACAAGTGGCTCAAACAACTTATTTACAAGTCTCTGAAAAGTTGCCCTAGCTTTGTTCAGCCCGAAGGGCATGACCTTGTAGCAGTACAGGCCAAACTCGGTTATGAAGGCGGTCTTCTCCTTGTCAGCTGGGTCCATTTTTATTTGGTTATAGCCCGAATAGGCGTCCAAGAAGCTCAACAACTCGTGCCCCAAGGTCGCGTCCACTAGACGGTTGATCCTGGGAAGTGGGAAGCAGTCCTTTGGGCAAGCCCGGTTCAGGTCGGTGTAGTCAACGCACATGCTCCACTTACTGTTTGCCTTTTTCACCAGAACGGGGTTGGCCACCCAACTCGGGTAATCGACTTCCCTGATAAAATCGGCTGCAAGGAGTTTCCCAACCTCCTCGTCGACTGCCTTCCATTGTTCCAGGGCTAGGTTGCGCTTCTTTTATCTAACAGGCCTAACTGAAGGATCAGTATTAAGTCTGTGAGTGATAATGTTGGGGTCTATACCGGACATTTCTGTCGCCGACCACGCAAAAACGTCTAAATTTTCAAGTAAGAAGCTTACCAGTTGAGATCGTAGGGGCTCCTCAATAGAAGCGCCGATTTGAAGTACCCGTGTTGGATCGTCCGCCGAGGTCGAGACGTGGATGGTCTCCTCGGTGGGTGTGGCCCGCTCTGTGAATTGCTCTGCGGGTTGTCCCAACTCGAGGCCGTTAGCTGCCTTGGCTTTTCCTTTGAGGGCGGCTATGTAGCATTTGCGGGACTCGAGCTAATCGCCTCGTGCCACTCCAACTCCAAAGTCTGTAGGGAACTTCATCGCTAGGTGGTAGGTGGAGACTACCGCTCGCAGGACGTGGGTGATGGGCCGACCTACTATCGCGTTGTATGGAGAGGGGGTCGCGACCACCAGGAACTCGTGACTGAGCCTTACCACACTAGGCCAACTACCAACCTCCACCGGCACAATGACCTTCCCTAGAGGCCTGACCTCCTCGCCGCTGAACCCCACCAGTGGAGTGCTTGCGGGCTTCAGGTCACCCTCTAGGATCTTAAGCTAATCGAAGGCTGCCTTGAAAAGGATATCCGCCGAACTGCCTGAATCTATGTGGACACGCTTGACTTCGAAGTCGTTGATCTTGATCTTGATCTTGATGACAAGCGCATCGTCGTGGGGGTAGTGGACTCCTCGTGCGTCGTCTTCATTGAAGAAGATCGGCTCCTCCACCCTTGGCCACTTCGGGGGGTTTAGCTCTTCTCTGGCAGCTTCGCGGGCTGATGATCGAGCTGCTGCCGAGGTGCAGCCCGCGACAATCGATCCTCCAACGATTATGTGGATGGTCTCTCGGGCTGGTCTCTCGTCTGGAGGCTGTCTCTGCGGTTGCTCCGCCTGTCTGCTGGACTCGGGGGTTTCTTTATTCTGTTCCCCGTGCCGACCTGCTTTATTGTTATTATTACCATGATGTACAAAATTTCTCAAATATCCGCGATGGATGAGCTCTTCTATCTCATCGCGGAGGTTATTATAATTTTCGGTTCTATGACCGTGATCTCTATAGAAACTACAATACAAGTTCTTGTTCCTAACATTAGGATCGCCCTTGAGCCTAGGTGGCCACTTTACATATGGGGCGTCCTTGATCGCCATGAGGATCTCGGCCTGCTTCGTGTTGAGGGGTGTAAACACCCTTTCTGCTGCTGGAGATCGGACAGACTGAACTGGCTTTGCCCCCCGAGCTTGATCCTTCTTCTTCTTGTAGTCATTAGGAGCCGGGGGTTCCAGTTCCCTTTTTCTTTTTTCAGGGGCGCTCGCCCTTCTGGTTAATCTCCTCTGTTCCTATGAACCGATCTGCGAGCTCGAGGAACTCAGTCACGGTTTTGGGCTGGTTGACGACCATGTGCCATCTGAACTCTTTGTGGGTGATATCTCGTTTGGCCGCCGTAAGCCGAACTGTAGGGTCCAGGTCGGGTATCTGTAGGCAAGCGTCATTAAACCGCTTGACATAGTTCCGGATGGACTCCCCATCTCTCTAGACTATGCTGAGGAGGCTTTCTTGGGTCCTCGGGCATCTCTTGCTAGTGACGAAGTGGGAGATGAAGACCTTCACGAACTGTGCCTAGCTCCTTATCGAGCCCGGCAAGGGGTTTCGGTAACAGGTGCGAGCCACTCCTTTGAACGTAGTGGAGAAGGCCAGGCACATGCAAAATTCACTCGCCCTGGCCAGATGCATCTGGGACTGGAAGGCATCGACGTGGTTGTTGGGGTCGAAGGACCCATCGTATTTGTGACCTGGGCACTCCTAGCTGGTTATGACCTGGCTTCTGTATTGCTAAGCTCGATGGGCCCAGGGGGAGGCAGGGATGGCTGCCGGTAGCTGTGGACAGAAGGACCTTGTTCTAGGTCTTCGACTAGCACCTTGAACCTGTTCTCCGCGAGCAGAGGTCCGAACTGCGAGTGCTGGGGTGATGCCGGCATAACCGACTGGGAAGCCCCCGACCTGACCGCGGGCCGCGTGGCGGTGGTTGGGAGTCTTCCCTTCCTTCCGTGAGATGATGCCGAAGTCTCTCCTCAGCGGGAAGGGAGTTCACTGCGGCGYTGAGGCTTAGCTGGCTGCGCCGCTGGATGTTAGGGAGGGAGTGAAGGGAACTATTGCTGGTATTGGTACTAGGATACTTGGTGCAACACTTGCTGCTGGTGAAGCTGGAGTTGTTGAAACTGCTACATCTGGGCCTGCATGGCCCGCATGCACTGCATCAAGTCTTCAAGTTGGCCTTGGCCGGTCACCGAAGGGAGAGTGGTGGGTTCGGCGGAGGTCGTCCCGACTGCAGGGTGCAGCGGGACATTTACGGGTGCCACCGTTGCAGGCACGTTCATGGGTGGGTAGTTGGAGTTGCTCCTCTGGGCTGCTCCGACGTTTGGAGTTGCTAGAAGAAGCCATGGGTGTCGGCTGGTGAGTAAAAGAAGGAAGTTTCGTAGAGATTAAAGGGAGGCTTTTCGAAGCGTTTCCCACAGACGGTGCCAAATGATGCTGCACGATCTGGGCACTCCTAGCTGGTTGTGACCTGGCTTCTGACTGGAACGAATGGCACCTGAGAGGAAGGAGAAGGTGAAGGGTTCCCGAGGAGTTATCCCGGTGGGAACACTCCGATGGCTAAGTTAGAACTGGAGAAAATCTCAAAGAGAGAGTAGAGAKTAAGAGTGTTGAAAGTGCTTAAGTTTCAATACCTTTTCCTTGTGAGAGTTAGAGCTCTTTTATGTTGGAGCCCGGTCATACCTGATATAACTGCCACCGCCCTAGCCGTTACTGCCAAGGCAGGTGTGGCAGGCGCAGGTTGCTGCTACAGACTGCCATTGCCAGGTACGGGCTCGACAGACGTGTCATGCTTTCTAGAGATGACAAACAAAACGCTGCCTGGCAGGCGGAACGCCGCCTGGCAAGGGATCAGAGCTCTGCCACCGGGTCCGGCGTGTACGGATGTCAGACAGGCCTCCCCACGGCCTACCGAGCTATCGTGTGCCGGACTGCTTGGGGTAGGTTTGTCCCGGTACCGAGGTGCCGAGTTGCCTGTGCTGGGGGCGGTGCTGCCCCAAGGTGCTCCTCCCTCGAGACACTTAGCCAAAAACCGGGGTGCTCCCTCCTTGGGAAGGGAGAGCTCGGGGCCCCTTAAGGGGAGCTCAGGCCCTAGGGGGAGCTTGAGACCTTCCACACTTGGTGGGAGTCAAAATTGGCCAGGTATCAGTCCCCATCGAGTTGCTTAACTCACCGAGTGGCCAGCGTTGGACTCGGCGTGTCTCTCCCGTCGAGTCGCGGTCGTGCTATCAAGCTAAGCTGTTCATTGGGCCAGGTCACACACACGTGTCCCCAGACTATGAGGTCGGACCAAATCGCCCTTCATCACTAATAAATAATATGAAAAAATAATTTATTAAGTAATTAGCAATACTTTAATATTGTTATTAAAAATTATTTATATAATTAACCAAATTAGTAAATTATTTTTATAACAAATTATTAAGTTAAAGATTAATTATTTTAAACAACATTACATTTTTCATTAGTTATAACCTTCCGAAGTTTCACTTCATAAATCCCTACATTGCACGGTCGCCAGTAGTTTTATATATAGATATATGGATATTTGATTTATTTTAACGTGATTTTTGTTTTAATTATTTTGGGGAATTTTATTTTCATTCTTAGAAAATTTTTAATTTCCTTTATCATCTGCATCGGAACAAAATTTTCCGTGCATTTTATATACAGACAAAATAACGCAGCCACAGTCCCACGGCAGAGTCAAAGAGGGGAAGAGAGCAGGGAAGGGAGCGCTCCTCTTCTCTTCTTTGGTCGGGCCCTTTCTCTCTCCTTTGTCTACTCCAACCAAACACCTCACAGACTTCCTAATCACCCTCTCTCTCTCTCTCTCTCTCTCTCTCTCTCTCTCAATGTCAGCTTCTCTCCCCTTCCCCACAGGTAAGCTAAAACCCCACACAACTCTATATTATCTCTTTGCATCTCCCGTTCAATCTCATTTCTTTCTTCGTTTCTGAAAAATATTTGAAGCAGAATCTCGTAACAAGTGGAAGAAGAGGAAGCGAGACACCAATCTCGGAAGCAACAGCAAGAGACAGAGACCCGAAGACGAAGATGAAGATGACGAGGAAGACGACGACGTCGATGCTGACGAAGACGAAGACCTGCACCCCATCAACCCCGCCGGCCCAACCCCCACCACAACCCCGTCAGCCCCTGGTGATACCGGCCAGGACACTCGAGAAAGAGAGGTCCTTTCGGACGGGGGAGTTCGGATTTCTGATTTTCCGGCCGTGGTCAAGCACATTGTGAACCGCCTACATCCGTCTGTTCTCGCAATCGTTGCCGCTGAGCGTGCCCTTCAGTTTGCAGACAACCGAACTCAGCAAAACCCTTACTTTTTCGAGAATATATCTCATGGACAGCTTCAGGCATTGTCGGCTGTACCGGCCGACAGCCCGTCTCTAGCGCAAGCAGATCAGGATAGAGCCGAGGGTTCCTCTTTCGCTTACGTAATTACTCCCCCAGCTATAATGGAAGGTCGGGGAGTCGTTAAGCGATTTGGCAACAATCGAGTGCTTGTCGTGCCGATGCACGCGGGTAAGCAATTTGATTTCTAGTTTGATTCATGTCTCTTGTTTGCGGTGTTAATTTTGCTTAATCGCGTATTTATATTATCTTGTGCAGATTGGTTTTCTCCGAATTCGGTGCACAGGTTGGAGAGGCAGGTGGTGCCCCAGTTTTTCTCCGGCAAGTCTGGGGATCATACACCGGAGAAATACATGGAATGCCGGAATCGGATTGTTGCAAAGTACATGGAGAATCCAGAGAAGAGGCTATCGTTTAACGATTGTAATGGGCTGGGTGTTAGTGTTGAAATGCATGACTTGAACAGAATTTTTCGGTTCCTGGATCACTGGGGAATCATTAACTACAGTGTGGCAACGATTAACCATGAACCTAGAATTAGTGGGCAGTACCTGAAGGCGAATCCCAATGGAGAGCTGATGGTCCCTTCGGCTGCCTTGAGGTCTATTGATAGTTTGATTCAATTTGAGAAGTCCAAGAGCAGGTTAAGGCCTGCAGACGTTTCTGCCTCGTCTTCTCCTGGTGATGAATTCTCTGATTTGGAGAGCAGAATTCGGGAATGCTTATCTGAAAACCACTGCAATTGCTGCTCTCGGCCTTTGCCTCGTGTGCACTATCAATCACAGAAGGAGGTAACTTAATTTCCTCCCTCCTTCTCCCAAAGGGTCCTTTTGGGCAGTTCATTTCCCTTTTTTTCATTTTCATTATTTATTATTAGTTTTTGTACTCCATGATTTTAGTAACCTGGAAGTTAAAACATTGGCAATTAATGAGTTCAATTATTTGGAAAAGATGTGATAACTTGATGATAAAGTTGTCAGAGAAGGTTAGAAACGCTTAAGGGACTGCTTTTGAATACAGTCATTTGGCAAAAGAAGAAGCCAAACTTTTTTGGGCATCATATGTTTTACTTTCTCACTATTGTAATTGTCAATTGATTGACTGATTTGTGGACGTTTAATAAAAGATTGGCCAATATAAGGACTTGAGTTTCATTTTTAGTAGAAAGGGAGAAGTGGTGAACTATATTATGCTCTATTATTTGCAAACTTATTCTTTTCCTGTTTATGATGATTAGTCAAGTTAGTTGTCCGGCTGTCAATGACAGACCATAATTTTGAAATGAGGATAAAATCCCTTTTTAGTGTTGAGTATGCCTCAATAGAGTCTTTTTGTTTACATGAACTGGAAAGCCCCATTTTAAGATGGGGGATGCAAAAGAACTTTCTTAATGTGTTAAAATTATAAACCAAGGAAGATCTGCTAGTTCTAGGAGCCTGACATGGTTAACAGGAAATTTTGATCAAATAAACTCCTTTTCGTTGTTAAATTAAAAGATGGAGTCAATGAAATGAATATTTTTTAAAGATGAAGCAACGTTCTTGAATAATGATTTCAACTTAAGTTTTAAGAACTCAAGGCATCTCTAGTCATGCTTCATTCTTCATAGATGTCTAAACTACTTCTAGAGAGATTTGGGAGGAAGGAGTTCTTATTGAAATACAACAATTAGAAAGCTTTAGAAACATCATTGTCAAACCACTTATCTCTTTGGGGTAAAACTTAACATTTTTTGAGTAAAAATTTAACATTGGTAAGGACAGTTATCAATTACAAAATCTAAAGGGGATATAAAGCCAAAACCTATGATTTCTGGATATGTGCACTAACGCAAATTGCCAGTGATATGGTTTTTGGATGCGGCAACTGTGATTCTGACTTGAGTGTGTCCTTGCTATTACACACCGAGTAAAGATATAGTATGGGCAAGGTGTTAATTACACTGGAAACTGAAATTTCTTACTTGGACACAGCATCCATAATCCATTTCAAGTGTTCCTACAACATAGATGTGCTTATTCATGTTGGTAGAAACATAGATACACACAGCAATGAACAGCTGTTAGTGTAAAAATAAAATGGGTTTAGAGGCAGAATCTTCTGGAGGGTCTTGATTCATGTTGTTATGTGGTGTATATGGAAGGAACACAACAGAAGAATTTCTGAGGATAAGTCTACTGTGATAGAAGGTCTTAGAGGGAGAGTTTTATCTTGCATCTTCTCTTGGGAGCTCTCCTGCAATCAGTTTAAAGGCTTCAACTATAGTGGTCTTGAAAGGAATTTGTTTGTAATTCTGCAGTCCTCTTATGTTGACAATCAGCTAAGCCCAATGATCATTCCCAGACTGGATTCAGAATATATCTTGATGTTTGATGGCAGCTGCAGACCACTCTCAGATCATCCAATCTTGGCTGGTATAGGAGGCCTGATTCTTAACAGGACTGGCATCATAATTTGGGCTTATAGTGAGGGGGAGAAAGAAATAGGAGGGAACAAAGCTGAAGAAATTCCCAAAGCAAGTATAATGGAGAGAGGAAAAGTCGTTATTGATCAACTAGTAGATAGACAATTGGCAGTTGGGAAATCTCTTGGTCTTTTCTTTTTGGGGGGAGAAGCAGTAATGAGGAAGGCAATCAAACAATTTTGAAGTTTTGAACAGAATAGAAGGCAGGAAAGCAATAAGAACATTGCAGTTGAGGAAGGGGGTGGGAAATGGGAGGAAGGTGAAGGAGAGGAGTTTGACTTTGTTGATGAAGAGTGAAGTGTGCTGTTGGTAATGATGCAGGTGAAAAGGTGAGGCTTGGTTGTCTTTGGTTGTTCTGCAATGGTTCCCGTGCTTCGTTTGTGTGCTTATGCAATGTTCCAATTTCTGGGTTTCATTTTTTATGTTTTCTATTGGGGTGGTTGGGTTTGTAAGTTGTTTGAGGGGCTGATGTGTTGGGATATGGGTGAAAAAGATTTCAAAGAATATGTGTTTGGGAGAACGTTGTTCCTAGCTTTGTTTGGAGGTGTTTCCTCAACACCTCTCTAGGTTGTATTTTCCTTTTCTTTTTAATGAATTTTCTTTTTACTTATAAAAAAAAGGGCTTATAGTGGGCTGGCCGACTCTACTGAAGCATCTGAAGCTGAATTTAGGGCTATGCAGATGGATACCAAGGGTACTGAATTCTGAGACTGATTTTTTTTTTTGGCTAAATCAGGGGTACATAGGACTTTTTTGTATAGTGCAAACTCAATGCCTATGTAATCTGGGTGCTCTTTTGGCTATGTTTTGGCCTTTTCTGGTTTGATTGTAGATCCCCCCTCTTTTTGTTATTAATGAATGATAGAAGTTACCTCTTCTAAAAAAACTTAGATTCATCAACTTGATGGTGAGTAGCCCTGTAGCTGTAACCGTAGAATTACATGGAACTTAAACACCTTAATTTTAGTCACAGATAAACTTGCTTTCGGTTATATATATTGAACAGGGTATATCATAACGACAAGATAGTAATAAGCATTCAGTTAATGCAATATATTAGGTGAATAACCATGTTGTTTGGACAAGTTACTATTGGCAGAAATCCACACTCGACATAGTTGCAGCCTTTCTCATGAGGTGAATGGACTTCCTGGTCTGAAGATCTTATTTCTGAGGATGCTTCTCTGCAGAAGGGTGGCCTGGGGACTTTCGTTGGTCAAGTCATATTAATTGCAGTTTACAAACCATTCCCTTCATCCTGGCTTGTTGGCTCTAGCTTTTTATAAATATAAAATGGCATATGAATAATACAGTGCATGCCTTTTTCAATGTTAAAAGTTAAAATAATAAAAAACGAACAGATATTGTAAGTTGCACAATGTAGACTCCACAAGAGATGTCTTTTTGCATGTTTCAGAGTCAGTTGTCTGATGTGCTGGAAGTCCATTGAGATTCATGTACCATGTGTCATCAAACAAAATGAGTTATCATATTGTCTAGGTACCACATATTAGTAGAACAATGGGGTGTTGTTCTGTAGTGTACTAATCTGAAACACGTCTTCCACTCTTCTTTTAATTCTGGTTGAAGATTCTGCTGCATCAATGTTTTGGGAGCTTTACTTAACTTTTATAGCTCTGGAAAGTTTGACACCAACCTCAAGAAAACAAARCCCTAAATCAGACTTAGGTAATTTATTGTCTTGATTAACTTGGTCTAACAGGCATCTATTTGTTACGCTATTTGCACAAACTCAAATTCTATGTGGAGTAACACAGACCTTAGACATATTTAATTGTCTGGTCAACAGCAGAACACCCAAACAATGTGCCCAAGAACCATATTGATCAGTAAAAACTAAATGATTGTGTCACTGAAGTCTAGTTTCTAGCTCTCTTGATGAAGTTTGTAATTGGAGGTTCATTTACTTGGTAAAACTTTATACTCCTCTTTACTGATTGACGTGAACTCTGTTCTAACATAATATATTTTTTGTTGATTTGATGCTTGCTTATGATTCTGTCTTTCATTTTCACTTGTGAGAGTAATTAACATGTCACTGGGCAGGCTGATGTACTGCTTTGCTTGGATTGCTTTCATGAGGGAATGTTTGTTATTGGTCACTCAAGCATGGATTTCATAAGGGTGGATTCCTCAAGAGATTTGTATGATCTCGACAGGGATAATTGGACCGATCAGGAAACTCTTCTCCTTCTGGAGGCATTGGAAATCTACAATGACAACTGGAATGACATTGCAGAACATGTTGGCACTAAGTCAAAAGCCCAGTGCATCCTTCATTTTATTCGTCTGCCCATGGAGGATAGCCTGCTGGAGAATATTGAAGTTCCAAGCAAATCTATCTCGTCTAGTGTGCCAAACACAGTTGATGATGGAAGACAATATGCAACTTCTAATGGTGATTGTGCAGGTATTTTTGCACTTTCACTTCCATTTTAGTCATTGTGAGCTATCTATATGTCTTTGTTATAGTTTCAATTATATATTTTAGTTCTTACAAATAAATCATGTTCCCCCCTTTTTATAATTATATATCTTTTCTTCAGGGGTTTCTATTGCAAACCTTGATTCTGAAAGCAGACTCCCATTTGCTTCAGCAGGGAATCCTCTTATGGCCCTGGTAAGTTATTATCTGATCTGTGCAAACCCCAGTTCCACATATCATTTTGTTAACTCTCAACAAAAATATTTTATTATTACATCATTATACTGGTCTTTATTTCTGTTTTGTATATTTGTTTTTGATGACCTACTGATAAAGTGGATGTCTGACAACTACTTTACAAAGGTAGAAGCCACCTTACATTTCCTTGTGTAGTTGGTTTATTGGTTGGATGCATTTTCAGATACTCTGGGTCTTGTGAAGCTTTTCTTCCCTCCCTTGTATATGACTTGTTGTCAATTTTATGTCATGCTTGAGTCTCTGAGATTGTATATTTGCAGTTTGGTGTATAAACTGATATATGAGATTTTTGTTTGAGATTTTGAATTCATTTCTCCATTCACTTCAGAGTTCAGACAGTTGTTGCCAATTTTATGCCTTTTCTCCATTCATTAGGATTAGACAGTTGAATATGGACTATGAGATTTTATGGCTAGCATAAAGCTGAAATTAATGAGTAGGTATGGATATGGGTAGTCATTCCATTGTAGTGTTCCTGGTCATGGTTTTGGTACAGTTTTTCACATATCTTGTTTTACAGCAATATTTACGATTTTGGAGCCTTTCAAATCCTCCCTCCCTTTTTATGTGGACAACTAGATAACAGGATATCATGAGTCAGAGCTTGTCAACATATTTGCTCCCTATGTCTGTTATTCATTTGTAGTTTTAGATTAATATCATCTATTATTTATGGCATAATTTGGTTGGAGGGTTTTACATTGTGCATCACTTCTTTCTGGATTGAATATATGATTGATGTGATTTTCGAGGGGTAAGCTGAGTGCCATGATTTGATGATTATACTCTGGAATTTTGTATCATTTGCTTCTCTTAGGAGTGTTTTAAGAGAAGGAAAAACTAATTTTCAAGTTAGGTTTTGTCCTTTTTTTTTTATCAATAAGCTAAGTTTTGTTCCTTGGTGCTAGCTTTTGGCAGTATGAGAGCAAGGCTTCTAAGTTTACATCTATTTATAAAGACATTGAATGAGATGGGCTTCCAAAAGTTTTGGGGAGTTAATGAAGAAGGGGTGAATCCTGCCGTTGATTCTCCAGACTTGGMGTTTTAGAATGAGGAGTTGGAGTTTAATGCGGTTGAATTTTGGGTTCTGGAGGGCTGGAAGGGTTTGGGCCTTTGGAGTATATAGGTTCTTGGCATGGCCTGCTACTTCTCATACTTCAGTCTGAGGATGATGCACTAGCATTAATTTATCTATATAAGCTTACATACTAAGGGGTGCATGTAGAAAGTTATATTTAGTATTAGATATAGCTTTTGCAATGATGTGATAATTATGATCGATTCCCTCTCATCTAGCAAAGACAAATGTAAACTGCATGTTGAAGTCACATACTGTCATTACATTTTGTGTGTAAGGACTAGGGGTGGATTCGAGTCAACCCGAGCTAAATATCTAGCTATTCGAGCTTGGCTCGCCAAGACAGTATAGCTCGAGCTAAATTCAAGCTAAAGACTTGAGCTTGGGTTCAACTCGAGTCAAAAGCTCATAAGCTCGAGCTCGACTCGGCTCATGCTTGACTGTAAGTCAAATGCTTTATAAAAGTAAAAAATTACATATAAAAAATTTATTTTTTATTTGACATTAAAAAAATTAATAATTATAATAATTAGTTATTATTGTTATATATAAAAATAAAAATATTATATGTATGTATGTAGAAGCTTGATTAGGCTTGCGAGCCTTACAAGACGAGCTCTTTATTAGGCTTGAGTTCGGCTTGAGTAGCAAACGAACCTATAAGTTGGGCTCGAGCTCGGCTCAAAGTTTGGTTTAAACCGAGCCGAGCCGAGCTCAAATAGCTCATGAAAAGCTTGGCTCGTTGCCACCCCTAGTAAGGACCCTTCCTATGGCGACATGGGTCTTAATTATAAGCCAGAACCCATGTAGAAACATGTATTTCATCTAGGCCTTTGCAATTCTATAAGATAAACATCCATTATATTTATAACAAAAATTAAATGCTATAATTGTAGAAAAGAAAACGAAGAATGTATTGTAATATTGATTGTTACCTTGAAGTATGGCCAGTACTTTGGATTGTGCCTGATTTGCAAAGGAACATTGTTAAAGTCAGGAGGCATCATGTTGGACATGGAGAAAGTAATCATAACCATTAGGACATTTTAAAATGTTGACTAATGGTCTCACAAGAATGTTGGGACTGTTTGTATCATATGATTTCTTTCTTTGTGTCCAACAGTGGTTAGGAAAATGGCTAGTTGTATATCTATCAAAAAAAGGCTACTTGTATAAGCCAAACATGCAGCAATTATTTTGGGCTTTAATATTCTGCAGGGCATTGGCAGTCCTTTGATGCTATACTGTATCTCTGTAATTCTGTATCTAGTTCTTAGTTAATAAAATTATTCTCTGCTGATAAAAAAAGTACTATAATGCTTTGACATAAGATCATCCATATGAAAGTAAACATCAAAGTTCACCAAGCAGAAGTTAAAGAGTGTTCAGACCAAATTAGGAGCGACTTGTCAACAGCCAATCCCATCTTTTACTCACATACAAAACATAATGAGATTATTTTTTCTTTATGTAAAATGGTAGCTCAAAAATGTGCTATTCATTAGGCTTAGCTCAGCCCTTTTATTTAAAAAGGTTGCAGACATTCTAATTAAATTACTTACTAGCTTAGCTCAAAGTTTGATTTCTTACGACTTACAAGACAAGCCTAATGGTGGTATATTCTATTCAGAATATATCACATCTCAATGTATATGAGGTTTCCATCTTAGCAACTGTGGTTTGTTACTCAATATGCCTATTTTCCTTGTCTAAAATTCTTTGACAGAACGTATTTGTCACACCTTTCTATCTAGCAAATGTTATAAATACAAGAGATCACTCACTTGAACGGTGAAGAAGGAATCAACTCTTACTTTTCACACCCAGGTTGGGAAGGTAGACAATGGTTTTTTAGAGCTTGACACCTTACAGACTTGGTAGAGAACAGAACCAAACCCTTCATGTTCCCATTGTATCCTTTCAATTTTCGAATAAATGGCTTTGATATTATCTATACAGGTTAGTATGTGGCTGTGCCAAGGAGCCTTACAGAAGTTGACTGCTAAAATAGAGTCAATCTCAATCAACAGTCTAGTATACCCAAATTTTTTTGCAAGTGGAATTGCACTCATGTATCACTCTCACTTCTGCCACAGTATTAGAGTTATGTCTATGATAGGAGAAAATCTAATGCCATTAATAAAATTTAAACCCAGGTCATTCATATTAAGCATGTAACTACTCACCACTAAACCACATCTTCCAATGAGGGAGGGAGAAAAGAAAAAGAAGGAAGCAAGAAAGGGGTTAATCTTTTTTGTTCATATAAAAAGCGAAAAATGTTGATTATTGCATGCAAATAGATATATGGGCAGTAGTACTAGGTGCTGCATCTAAGAAGTTAAGTCGTGGCTTTTGATGTCCCAAAATATGGAAAGAATATAGTTGATTCCATGTTTCTCAAAAAACTTTAGTCTGTTCACTGCAAAAACAACCTTATGATTCTACACAGCAAAAACAATAAACTTATTTGGCGTCAGTACGTTAGTGCATTGTAATTTTGTTTCCACTTGATGATTCCTTCTATGGACTTTCTTTAGAATATAGGCCATTGTTTCTGCTTAGTTGTTTTGCTTCCAATTTAACTGTTGGAAATTTTTTCTAGGTTGCATTTCTTGCTTCTGCAGTTGGGCCACGAGTTGCTGCAGCCTGTGCTCATGCATCATTAGCAGCACTGTCCAAGGAGGACCACCAAGTAGCTGGTTCTGATGGTGTCACACAAGTGGAAGGTGAAACTGTGGGAGTACAAGGATTATGCAATCAGAATGATGCAATTTCTTCTCCACTGCCCATTGAAAGTGTGAGAATTGCTGCAAAATATGGTCTGGCTGCAGCAGCAACAAAGGCAAAACTGTTTGCAGATCACGAAGAACGTGAAATTCAGAGAATGGCTGCTACCATTATAAACCATCAGGTATATTATTGCTGATGTTCTTATATTTTGAGCTTCTTTTTCTAATATATTTCTCTGGTAATATACTTATGCTTGATGTTATTTATTGCCATTATTTGGCTCATTGAACTAGTTGCATTTCTTTCTCTTCGGTTGATGGTTGTAACTCTTTACCTTAAAGGTTCTGTAGGATAGAACTTTTAAATGGTAAATCTGTGCTATATGTAAAATCAGCTGGTGGGGTTGACTTTATTCTCTAGTTATTGAAGCTGAGTTCATTTTTTGTGATTTTTTTTTGTTTTCCTTTTTATCCAATAGCAAGAAATTATAGGCATGCAATCATGTATATATGCTTTTTATATACCATGCCTAGAAGAAACAGGGAGAAAAAAGAAAAAAAGGCGTGCAGTTTGTCTTCCAAAAGAGCTCCATGCAAAAGAGGCATGCTTTACATTTGATGGTTTTAGAAGCCAGTTTTCTATTTGAGCTGTAAACTAATTTGTCATGTATAAGATTCCTTGGTAGTTTAGTGCAGCTAAGTAAATGACTTGATTAGCAGCTATAATGCCCAGTTATGGATACAGACACAGACCTATGGCATGAAATTAAATTCATGAAACACACTGAAAATTTGGGAGAGAATAATTGAGCAAAGTTTACTGCATTAAATAAATATTTCAAAAAACCAATTTGGGTTTATGCCAAGAAGATCAATCATGAAAGCCATCTTTCTACTAAGATGATTGATGGAAAAGTTTAGAGAGAAGAAGAGAGATCTTCATATGGTTTTCACCAATCTAGAGAAATCATATGATAGAGTCCTTAGAGAGGTAATATGGTGGGTTTTGGAAAAGGTGTTCCAAATAGGTATGTGGACCTAATGAAGGATATGTATAAAGGTGATAAAACTAATGTTCTAACCATAGTTGTCAAGGCGACGCCTAGGCACAGCGACAAGGCGCCCTTGGAGGCTCGCCTTGCCTAGTCGCCTAGCAGTTTTGTGCACCGGGTTATAAAATACTTTTAGATTTTTAATTTTTTGACATTATAATTATAAAATAGACATTATTAAACTACAATATTCATTTTATGTGTTTATTTACTAATTTCTTTTTATTATTTTCTTATTTTGTTGGGGTTTAATCAATGCAAACATTGCTAACTGCTGTATTGAACCCATGGTTCACAGTATCGATACACCTCTATGTATTGGCAGAGGTGTATCGGTACTTATAACAATACTCTCCCTATTTTTTTATTTCTTTGGTTTTCAATTTCATTTTTAAATATATATATATATATTATTTAAAAAAATGGGTCCCCGAAAACACCTGTAAACAGGTATCGGGACCCCAAGGATACAATATAATACACCCGATACGGGGCATAACGTATCGAAATTTTGATCCTTGATTGGACCCTCAAAAATTTCAAAACCTGAACCTATAAGCAAGGGAAGAACTTAAAATTTTGTCTAATCAACACATTTTCTTCTTCCACCTTTTCTTTTCTTCTTTCCTATAACAAAAGTAGGGGTTCAGCCCCTATATTTTTTGGATTTTCTTTACTTTGTTCTTTTTCTTCTCATAAAATGTTGATTTTCTAGACTAAACATGAAATTTATACTTTTCTTATGAAAATTATGAATAATTATTAAGGAAAGATGGTTATGGAACCTAGGGAACTACCCTAGGATCTATGGTTTTACTTAAAAAAATCCATCGCCTAGGCGGCAAGGCACCCCCCTGTCGCCTAGCCTCGCCTTGGCACCTTGAAAACTATGGTTCTAACACATATGGGAGAGACATCGGGTTTTATAGTTAAAATGGGTCTTTACCAAGGTTCAGCACTTGGTCTTTATCTATTTGCACTAGCCATAGATGAATTGATTAGACATATTCAAGAGGAGGTCCCATGGTGCCTGATATTTTCTGTGACATGGTATTAGTTGATGAAACTAGTGAAGGGTTAAATGCAAAATTATTTTTATGGACAAATTGCATTAAAATAAGCAAGACTAAAACAGAATATATGGAATGTAAATTTAATAATAATATGAATGCAAATCAGGGTATGCTTAATATTGGAGACCGAGAGATAACTCATTGTGACCTTCCATTACTTTGATTCAATAATTCTTAACAAAGTAGAGATTGAGGAGGATGTCACCCATAAAACTAGAGCAGGATGGGGAAAATGGAGGGTTACATCCAGATTCTTACGTGATAAGTGAATACCATTTTGGCTAAAAGGAAAATTCTAGAAAATAGTTGCAGGGCCAGCTATGGAGAAGAGTGTTGGACAGTTAAGAAACAACATGTCTTAAAAATGAGTGTGGCGGAAATGCAAATGCTTAGATGGGTGATGATAAAACTAGAAAGGACAGGGTTAGAAATGAAGTCATATGAAGGAACCTGGGAGTATCTCCAAGAGGTGACAAAATGAGAGAGTAGATTGAAATGGTTTGTTCATGTGCATAGAAGACCATCTCCAGCACCTATTAGAAATGAACTCTTACAAGTTGAAGGGACTAGCTAGAAGAGCTAGGGGCAGACTGAAAAGGACTTGAGTTGGGTTGTCTGATTTGAAAATTTCCAACCACTTCGGGCTCAGGATAGGGTTCAGTCCCATTGAAAATTTAACAGGTTCCCAACCAACCCAAGTTGGGATCGATCCTGCCTGCACCTGGGTTGGGGGATGGGCTACCCCC